TGATACACCAGTGAAGCCAACGTACGATTATCCGAAAAAGATCAATTCGGAACTCTCCAAGGAAGTTTTGAAAAAGGAGTTCAAGAAGACGCTTCTACACGAGACCCAAGATAATGATGCAAACACCCCGAGGGATGATGATAACTGAATTTTAACTTTTTCTTGTTACTAGTTTTTGTTGTTGTTAATGTTATTGATATTATTTTTGCTTAATTTAAGTGCAATGAAACAAATTTTGCTAGCTGTGCTAGACGCAAAATTAAAAATATTGCAGGTTACATTAAAATTACATTAAAAATTTGTTCAATAGTTTTGCTGTTTGTTTGGTGCAAAGCTATGAACACTTTAAGTTACAACATAAAAATAGTCGTTTATCTTATTGTATTTTGTATTATTCTCGATGTTCCTTCTTTTTTGTAGGTTTTTAAAAAGCCAAATAAATTACACTATAAAAAAACTTTTATTGCCTTTATTTATTTTACAAATTGGATATATTTTCCCGTTAATACTTATTCTATTCATAATTTAAACAATACTGTGATGACCTAAAAGGCCATACCCTGCCCGTCGAAAGTGAGTACCTGAGCGCTAAATTCAAATTAAAAACAAAATGGCCGCAAATTGTTCGAATGCGCATGCGTGAGATTCATATTGGAAAGGGCACGAATAAAACAAAAATTGGAAGGAATGCATTTATTGTTTATTTCCTGCAGTCAGTGAAAACAACCAAGAAAATCACAGTAAAATGTGAATACACAAAAAAAAACAAACAACGAACAATCAAACAAATGACAAATCCTGAAAAGCAAAAGATTAAAAGTTACACAAAACAAAATTACTCGTGATTAATCACTGCAGGAAGGACCGGATGGATAAAACCTTCCTAAACCGTGTCCAAAACAATGCTTATTGAATATTTTCAATCAACAAAATAACAAAAAAAAAACAATTACAACATGTAAGACAATTTACAAAACGGTTTCGTGTGTCAACAATGGCTTAAATTAAAGTGTTAAGGACGCCGTAGACTAGAGGCTCTATTTATTTATCAACTATTTGGGGTTGTTTTAAAACAATGTTAACATGTAATTTACTAATAACAACACAAAAACAAAACTGTAGACGAGTTTTACATTTAGATTATGACAGAGTATTGTAGAACTAAGTTGTAACATTGGTTATTATGACAGAAATTCAGTTCAACTGCAATGAAGTTAACGGGCACAAAAAATAGGAAGTTTGAGAATTTTATTTAATCTTGGCTCTTGTCGTCAGTTCGACTAAGTTACAGCGCGGGTGATTTGAAAACTACAGCGCGGTTGGTTTTGTTTGAAAACTACTGTGTGGAACACCTTGCCAAGTCATCCCCTCGGTTCGGCACCGCTTTCCCACAATGCAAAACTCCCGAGCTAAACCCATAAGCAACTTTCCCAAGTCATACCCGAGGTACTGGTTTCCCGTGGGCTCGCTTTTTTTCCTTTGGTGTTTGACAGAAACAAACCGACAACTTAAGTCACAAGAAATGATCATTTGAAAAAAAATTTAAATACAATTTATTAAGTGTAAAATAAAAAATAAAATAAAATGCTCTGACCTTATATGGCATCATCTTCTGCTACCATTTGTAGCGATTACCCTCATCTTCAAAGAACGGACTTACTGAAATAAAAGAAATTCAAAATTAGTTCAATTTGTTTTTAAATTAATTGAAAATTTTAAATACAATTTAATAAGTGTAATTTCTTTGAAAAATCATAAAGTATTGTTGACTTACCCTTTAATCCGGATCCTTGTAGCACGATTGTCTTCTCCATTACCCCCATTGGCACTCACTAATCACTCGAAATTTTAAAAATCGCGCACTACTAAATGTCTATTAGCACTCGAGAATACACAACACGCACTCACTGGTCACTGGAATTACTGAAATAACCAAAATATTTACGATTGTCTCGTCCATTCCCCCGATGACTTCTCCCATTGGCACTCATCACTCGAAATTCAAAAAATCGCGCACTACTAAATGTTTCTTAAGCACTGAAAAATACATATTACACTAACTGTGTGTACAGCCCCCGTTTCAACACACTTTTGCACTGAACCAGCAAATAAGTAATAATTTATCCGGACAATTATTACAATTCAAGTGACTCGTACGAGAGCTTGGCCAAGACTGACTGGTTATTGTAATAATTTCCTCAAAAACGGCACAAAAACTATTTCGTAACAGTTCCGGTGTAAAAGGCCTTTGTTCGAGACTGCGTCATTCGTAACGTCACAAAGTAATTTAAATATTACCCAATTCCACCGTCACCATTTTTTGCGCCCTTTACACTTGTTTACACAGCCTGACATGACGTCAAAATGCTTGCATCTGATTGGCTACGCTCTACGGGATAGCGTATTGATGACAATAAAATTTCAATTTGCCATTAATCGATTTAAAAATGGCGAAATAAAATTTAATTTAGGACTAAACAATCCGAATTAAGTTGTCAGTCACTTTACTTTTTTAAACATTAAATTAATCGCGAATTAGAATTTGATTGCAATTAAGAATGCTTTGTAAGAACTTTTTTAAAATGAAAATGTGAAATTTGTTCAAAACAAAAATGTGTCTAAGGCTACGCCACTCTTTTTCTATATTTACATTTAAAATAAAAAATTAGACATTAAATAAGTCTGGGTGGTTAAAATAACTTTATAATTATAAGTTTCATTATAATTTTGTTTAAAACGAGGATAAATTTTTAATTTCAATAATAGAAAATAAATGATTTATTCAAACATGGCGCTATTGTGTGTTGGTAATTTTCTAGGGAATTCTCATGGTGCTTCTGAAAAGTGACAGCTGACGTTTCGTTTGTTTTTCAAGTAAAGGGTGTAAAGTTGAGGGTGTGTTCGTGGCTTAAATTTTATGTTTCATTTAGTAATTTTAATTGAAACAAGGAAATAATGCATTTAAATGCTGATATTTCGAGTGCTTTACAGTTACTAGAAGATATAAAACAGACAGTGGATGAATTGAGCGATCCGAAACTTCAAGTAAACACATATCAAGACTTATGTTTATTAATCTCAGTTTTGGAGAATCCCGTATTTCGAAGCGTAGTCACCGTTCAAGACTCTTTAAGCGAACTGAACCAACAACTCGGCGAGCATCCCTCCATTTTACCTGTAGATTTCGATATCACAGCATCTGGCGAATTGGTATTAAACGTTCCACCCTCGGGGGAGTTGTACGACCCCGACTATGCCGACGACTACCAACCGGCCCGTGATTTCGACGAGCAGCGCGTGCCCTCAGCCCCCATCTCGCCCAGCTCGCCCCACGTGCATCCGTTCAACACCACTGACAATAAAATGATACTCCTTAATAGCAAAACGCTAAATGGGAGCATTTGCAACCAGGAAACGCTGCGTTTTGGGGCTAGCGACGACGACGTCATACACAGATCCCCGTCGATAGGTAGCGACGCCTCCAAAACGGGCTCGGACAGCCTACTTAGCAGTGAATGGTCGCAAGTTGAGAGCATTGATCTTATCAACGATGGGACGGGGCTGGGGTTCGGCATCGTCGGGATGAGGAACATGGGGGTTGTCGTCAAGACCATACTGCCAGGGGGAGTGGCCGACAGGGACGGCCGGCTGCAAAGCGGAGACCACATTTTGCAGGTGGGGCCACTCGAAAACCAAGCTTTCATTAAAATTAAATTCATCAAATATAATCTTTTTTGACTCAAAGACGTGTTTAAACGCTCGAAAAAGATGGAAATAACTCAATTTTTGGTCTAATTCTATGATTTTTCTGATTTTTTTAAACTTAAAACGTGCTAAAACGCTCAAAAAAGGCACAGACTTGGTTTTTTGTTTTATTTTTAGCGAAATCTTGTTCTTAGTTCAAAAACGTTTTTGAAATTTTGCGGTTTTCGGCTTTTTTTTTAATAAATTTTGCTCCAACACTATTTTAATCAAGTGAAACACACGAAATGACATCAATTTCGATTTATTTTTGATCTTGCTAAATAATGGAGCTAAAATAATATCAATTTCTATATAATTTACTAATTTTTCAGTCAGTTTAAGCGAAATTTCTTGTTTTTATTGCAAAAACGTGGTTAAACACCCGAAAAGGGCAAGAATAACACATTTTTTGATGTAATTTGTCGAATTTTTTGCATGCTTTTAACGAAATTTTACGAAACAATTGTGTTTTTGTCTGAAAATCGTATTAAAACGATTCAAAAGAGGCACAAATGAAGTAGTTTTTGGCTTAATTTGGTGATTTTTTGTTCTGTTTTAATGTATTCTTTAAAAAACTGAAAATTTAGTCTTTTTAGAGGCTTTAAAAAGGTAAAATAACACCATTTTTGTCTAAATTTTTTGAGTTTTTTTTGCTTATTTGGCTTAAATTTTACTAAAAAATAATATCAATTTCGATCTGATTAGGTAATTTTTCAGCCAGTTGCAAAATTTCTTGTTTTTATCTCAAAAACATGCTTAACACTCAAAAACAGGGAAAATAACAGACGAGTTGGCCCAATTAGCTGAATTTGAAATAATTTTGTTTTTGTCTGAAAAATGTACTAAAACGCTTCTGAAAAGGTAAAAATAATATAAATTTTTGACTTATTTGTTGATTTTTTGATCTTTGTACAATCTCCACAAAAACGTGAGTGAAGGCGTGAGAAAGCATTTTCGACAAAATTTTATGGTTTTTCGGTATATTTTTGACGAAATTTTATGCAAAAACGAGTCAAATCGAGTGGAACAAACAAAATAGCATCAATTTCGATATTTTTTTTGTTTTTTATGTGTGTATTGAAAAATAACAAGTCTGGTTTAAAAACCAAATAAATCCAGCGAAAAAAAAATATATAAATTTCGATCTGATTTGCTACTTTTCCAGCCAGTTGAAACGAAATTTCTTCTTTTTATCTGAAAACGTGTTTAAACACTTGAAAATGGCAAAAATAACACTATTTTTGGCCCAATTTGGTGAATTTTCGGCTGCTTTTTAACGCAATTTTTCGAAATAATTCTGTTTTCGACTGAAACATGTACTAAAACGCTTCTAAAAAGGTAAAAATAATGTAAATTGTTACTTTATTTGGTGATTTTTCAGTCTGTCTTTGTGCTTGTGCTTGAAAAAAGATAAAAATAATACTATTTTTGACAAAATTTTATGGTTTTTCACATATTTTGGACGAAATTTTATCCAAAAACGAGCCAGATCGACTGGAACAAACAAAATAATATCAATTTCGATAATTTTTTGTGTTTTTTATTGACACGATTTTGCAAAATAACGAGTTTTTTTGTTAAAAAACGAATTAAATCCAGCGAAAAAACAAAGATAATATCAATTTCCATATAATTTACTAATTTCCCGGACAGTTTCAGCGAAATTTCTTGTTTTTATCTGTAAACGTGTTTGAATACTCGAAAAGGGAAAAAATTACACTATTTTTGGTCTAGTTTGGTGAATTTTGGGCTTCTTTTTTACCGAATTTTTTCGAAGTAAATCTGATTTTTGGCTGAAAATTTTATTAAAACGCTTGTAAAAAGGTCAAAATAATGTAAATTTCTACTTTATTTGGTGATTTTAACCAAATTTGATTTGGTTTTTCGATTTATTTTTTTGACGAAACTTTACTTCAAAACGATATAAATCGAACGAAACAAACTAAAATAATATCAACTTCAATCTAATTTACTAATTTTTCAGCCAGTTTGTGTGGAATTTCTTGTTTTACGTGTTTAAACACTCGACAAGGGCAAAAATAACACTATTTTTGGCCCAATTTGGTGAATTTTTGGCTTGTTTTTACCAAATTTTTCGAAATAATTCCGTTTTTGACTGAAACATGTACTAAAACGCTTCTAAAAAGGTAAAATTAATGCAAATTTCGACTTTATTTGGTGATTTTTCGGTCTGTTTTACAAAAATCTCCACAAAAAACGTGAGTGAAGGCTTGAAACTGATAAAATAATACCACTTTCGACAAAATTTTATGGTTTTGCGGCTTATTTTTGATCAAAAATCAACCAAATCGAGTGCAAGAACAAAATAACACAAATTTCGATAATTTTTTTGTGTTTTTTAGACAAGATCTTGTAAAATAAATAAATAAAAAATAATTAATTTGGTATTTTTTCAGCCACTTGTAAAAACGTGCAAAAATAACGCAATTTTATGCTCATTTGGCGTATTTTTCGTTTAATTGAAGTGTTTTTACTCAGGATAATCTTCAATCTGCTGTACTAATTCTTAATTAAACAACGATTATTTTTGTATGAAATCCGAACGCGCGTGTTGAAAGCACAAATAAATGGCCATTACTCGTCAATAAACACTTTTTTGTTTAATTTGATTTGAATAAAAAACTTTCAAGTTCAATTAAAAAAACAAAAAAAACAAAGTATATTCATTGTATTTTTTACACAATGAAGGCGGGAAATGCAGCAGATATGGTGTATGGTGATTTATTTTTGGTTGTCAGGCGTGTTTTGATAAGATCTTACAAAATAAAGGAGTTAAAATAATATTAATTTTGATATAATTTACTAATTTTTCAGACAGTTTAAACGAAATTTCTCGTTTTTATCGTGGTTAAACACCCGAAGAGGGCAAAAATAACACAATTTTTGGTGTAATTTGGTGAGTTTGTTGTATGTTTTGAATGAAATTTTACGAAACAATTGTGTTTTTGTCTGAAAATCGTATTAAAACGATTTTTTGTTTTGTTTTAATGTATTCTTAAAAAAACTGATACTTTATTTCAGAAATTTCCTTTTAGAGACTTTGTCTGAAAATCGTATTAAAACGATTCAAAAGAGGCACAAATGAAGTAGTTTTTGGCTTAATTTGGTGATTTTTTGTTCTGTTTTAATGTATTNCTGTTTTAATGTATTCTTTAAAAAACTGAAAATTATTTCCTTTTAGAGACTTTAAAAAGGTAAAATAACACCATTTTCGTTCAAATTTTTTGAGTTTTTTTTTTGCTTATTTTGTCGAAATTTTAATAAAAAATGAATAAGCTAAAATAATATCAATTTCGATCTGATTAAGTAATTTTCAAGCCAGTTACGAAATTTCTTGTTTTTAGCATCAATTTCGATAGTTTTTTATGTGTGTATTGACTCGATCTTCGAAAATAACAAGTCTCTGGTTTAAAAACCAAATAAATCCATCGAAAAAAACAAAAATAATATAAATTTCGATCTGATTTGATACTTTTCCAGACAGTTTAAGCGAAATTTCTTTTTTTATCTGAAAACGTGTTGAAACACTTGAAAATGGCAAAAATAACACTATTTTTGGCCCAATTTGGTGAATTTTCGGTTTGTTTTTAACGAAAATTTTCGAAATAATTTTTTTTTTGGTTGAAACATGTACTAAAACGCTTGTAAAAAGGTAAAAATAATGTAAATTTTTACTTTATTTGGTGATTTTTCTATCTGTTTTAGTATAATCTAACAAAAAACAAGAACTTTAAAAACGTTCTTGAAGCCTTCAAAAAGATAAATTACTTCATTTTCGACCAAATTTTATGGTTTTTCGACTTATTTTTGACCAAACTTTACTTACAAACGAATAAATCAAACGAAACTAGCTAAAATAATATCAATTTCGATGTAATTTACTAATTTTCCATTCAGTTTAAGCTAATTTTTTTGTTTTTATCTGAAAGCGTGTTTGAACATTCGAAAAAGACAAAAATAATACTATTTTCGGCCTAATTTAATGAATTTTTTACTTCTTTTTTACCGAAATTTTTCGAAGTAAGTTTGATTTTTGGCTGAAAAAATTAGTAAAACGCTTGTAAATAGGTAAAAATAATGTAAATTTCTACTTTATTTGGTGATTTTCGATCTGTTTTAGTACAATCTCAGTAAAAAACTAGAACTTAGTTCAAAAACTTGCTTGAAGCTTTGAAAAAGATAATTTATTTTATTTTCGACCAAATTTCATGGTTTTTCGACTTATTTATGACCAAACTTTACTTAAAAACGAACTAAATCGAACGAAGCAAGCTAAAATAATGTCAATTTCAACCTAATTTGCGAATTTTTCTGTCAGTTTAAGTGAAAGGGCAAAAATAACACTATTTTTGGCCCAATTTGGTGAATTTTTGACTTCTTTTTTAACAAAATTGTTCGAAGTGATTCCGTTTTTTGGGTGAAAAATGTACTAAAACGCTTCTAAAAAGGTAAAATTTCGACTTTATTTGGTCCACCCTTGTACAATCTCCACAAAAAAAACGTGAGTGAAGGCTTGAAAAAGATAAAATAATACCACTTTCGACAAAATTTTGTGGTTTTTCGGTATATTTTTGACGAAATTTTATACAGAAATGAGTCAAATCGAGTGGAACAAACAAAATAGCATCAATTTCGATTTTTTTGTGTGTATTTACTCGATCTTTGAAAATAACAAGTCTCTGGTTTAAAAACCAAATAAATCCAGCGAAAAAAACAAAAATAATATCAATTTCGATCTGATTTGATACTTTTCCAGCCAGTTTAAGCGAAATTTCTTCTTTTTATCTGAAAACGTGTTTAAACACTTGAAAATGGCAAAGTAACACTATTTTTGGCCAAATTTGGTGAATTTTCGGCTTGAATTTAGTCCAAAATCGTACTTGAAGGCTTGAAAGAGATAAAATAACACCAGTTTCGACAAAATTTTATGTTTTTTGGCAAAGGAGCTAAAATGTTGTCAGTTTCGATCTAGTTTACTAATTTTTTAGCGAATCTAAGCGAAATTTCTCGTTTTTATCCCAAAAATGTTGAAAGGACAATTTTTGGTGTAATTGAGTGAATTTTTGGCATGTTTTTAACGAAATTTTCCGTTTTTTTCTGCAAATCGTATTAAAACGCTCCGAAAAAGGCACAAATGACGCTGAATTTTTGATTTTCAGATCGGTGATGTGAATTTGCACGAGATGGGTTCTGAGCAAGTGGCAACTGTTTTACGACAATCTGGCACTCATGTGCGTCTCGTGGTTGCAAGACCGATTGATATTAGCTCTCCCGAATATAAGTATTTAGGTTCTTCAGCTCCGCTTGTGCCTACACGACTTCTAAACGATTCAATTGAATTAGATCGTTATTTGATTCAGCACAAATATCCTCCAATCTTCCACAAAGCTATGGACCAAATAACCGATCTCTATCAATTCGAACAGTCAAAAAGTTATACGGGATTATCACGTGTGCCAGCATCTCCGTCTTTGCCACTTTTAAACTTGGATATGGCGGTAAAAATGCCTGAAATGGAGAAATTCGTCGTGGAATTGAAAAAAGACGTGAAGGGATTGGGGATTACCATCGCGGGTTACGTATGCGAGAAGGAGGAATTGTCGGGGATTTTCGTCAAGAGTGTGAGTAAAGGGAGTGCAGCGGATGTAAGCGGGAGGATTAAAGTGAATGATCGAATCGTGGAAGTGGATGGTCAATCATTGCAAGGATACACGAATCTTCAAGCCGTTGAGGTTTTGAGGAATTGCGGAAATGTGGTAAAATTATGTTTGGAGCGATATTTACATGGTCCAAAATTCGAACAACTTCAACAAGCAATAGCAGCTAGTGAGATAAAACCAGCAACACCATCAAGTCCAACTGAAGTGCCACGGTAATAGACGAATACGTGGAATTTTTTTAAGTGCTAAATCCCCTTAGTTGCTTTTCTCAATCGTAAAACCTTAATCCTAGTCTTTACTAACACCACCTAATGTACTAATGAGGGTGTCTGGATGTAGTAAACTATATTGTTAATAAAAGTATCATGTATGTAAATTTCAGATATCCTAAGGCCGAAGATGGGAATTTTATGCGTAACGATGATGCAGTTGAGGCAAAAAATGAGCTGTTTTGCGGGCAAGATAAGCCGACCCCGTTGTCAGAAGAGGAAATTAAGAAAAAGTGGGAGAAACTAATGGGTCCTGAGACTAAAATAGTGGTCGCACAATTGACTAAATTTGGTGAGAAAGGCGGCTTAGGGATTAGTCTTGAGGGAACTGTTGACGTCGAAGACGGACAAGAAGTGCGTCCGCATCATTACATAAGATCGATTTTGCCGGAAGGACCGGTGGGTAAAAACGGAACGTTGAGATCCGGCGATGAACTTTTGGAAGTAAATGGACACAAACTCCTCGGAATGAACCACCACGAGGTTGTGTCAATACTAAAAGAACTTCCGATAAATGTATGTATGGTTTGTGGGAGAAGTCCGGTGAATTTATTCGAGCAACGGTCTTCCGAAGAGTCTGCGTTTTCGGAAAGAGCCGCTCTTAATAGAAGCCTCCATAATCTGCTCCCCGCTTCCGATAGATTAGTTAAAGCGAAGTCAGATGGTTCTTTAGCGAGTAGTATAGCAGCGGTTAGTTCGGAGAGTTCTTTCAATAAGATGAAATCGAGATCGTTGGAACCGCTCACGGGGTTAGCTATGTGGAGTTCAGAACCGCAAATTATAGAACTGGTTAAAGGCGAGAGAGGTCTTGGATTTTCAATTTTAGATTATCAGGATCCTATTGATCCAAATGATACTGTCATTGTTATTAGAAGTTTAGTACCAGGTGGGGTAGCCCAGTTAGATGGAAGATTAATACCTGGCGATCGTTTATTGTTTGTTAATGACACAGTATTAGAAAATGCCTCTTTAGATCAAGCTGTACAAGCACTTAAAGGGGCTCCTAAAGGTATTGTTAGAATAGGAGTTGCCAAACCTCTGCCAATTCCAGACACAGTTGCTCACAGTTCATTAGTAGATGTCGATCAAAATAGATTTGTTACAAGTAATTCTAAAAATGTAGAATAAGATAAGTGATATAAACGAATTATGGCGTCTAATCCTACTCTAAACAGGCAAATGCCTTTTACATCGGGAATAGACAATATTATTGTTTCTAAATTTTTATAACAAAATTTTAAGATTAGGAAGCCATTTCACATTTTGCTTGATCTGATCTATGTGATATTCTCTTGCTTTTAGTTTATTATATTAACACCTATGTTAGAAATGTACACATATTTATTATACTATTGTATAATCCCTCTGTATTTTATTACATGTTTTCTACTAGTTTACGCATTTTATTCGTTTTATTGTACTTACTTACATTTATTAGACAATATTATAAATAAAAACTTGTTGAATATAACCACATTTTTATGAGTATTACCTGTTTTACGTCTAGAAGAGCATATTTTAAGCGGTTTTACGATTAAATAAATTGACTATTTTTACGATTTTACTACCGCTCATCTTGAAAAACTCAAAAATTAGTTAATTTTTTAAACTTGACCCAATAATGTTTTATGCACTTTTTTGAGTCTTTAAGACCTCTAGAAACGGAAAAAACGTCATATGGGATAGTTTTAACGTAATTTTATTATTACTTATTGGTAATAACCTCTTATGTTTGGTACCGTTGGAAAGCAAATTTAATTTTCTATCGTAAGATCAGTGTTCTACGATAAATAGTTATCGAGAAAATTTCTGATAAAGTCAAAAGTATGGAAAATATAAATCCGACTATAACTTCAAAACTACTACGAATTTTGCAGTTTAATTGACGCCAATCGATTCCCCGGAACATTTTACATGGGTTTAGGTCAAAACATTACATCATTGAGGCACAGTTTTGCCGCAATTTACAAATTAAAAGAAAAAAATTGTTAAAATCTTAAAATCTAGTGTTTTTTAACATGTCTCAGATTCGATTTAAACCTATCTTATCCGATAGATTTTGACGCGCTAATTACGAATTTACCAACCACATTGGGCTATCTCCTTTAGTTTCGCCGTAATCGGCGTTTAAAAATTCAATTTTTTTGCGAGATATCGACTTGGCTTTGGCCTCAGTCGATAGATTTTCTTACGCTGATTATGATGGAGTTGAACTTTTTGCTCTAAGTCTTATAGTTTGGCCGTAATCGCCGTTCAAAAAGTAAAAATTGTCAAAATTGTGAAACTTTAAACGCGTTTTTCTACGAAACTATAAGATTTAGAGCAAAAAGCTAAAAACCATTAAAAGTAGCTTGAAATTATCTATTTATTGGTGCAAACCGGAAGTCGCTCCGGGTTATGGTTCCGGGTACAGAGCCATTTTTAGGTTTAAAAAAATAACGTCATATCTCAAAAACTATGAGTCCTAGGTCATAACAGTTTATTCAGGCGTATTCTCCGGTTAATTTTACATATAGTACTAGTTTTTCATAAGAATTAAAAATTTTTGTTTTTTTTTTAAATCGGATATTTCTACCCTTAGTTTTGACTTTATTACTCAATATCTCAAAAACTATGCATCGTAGAGTATTCTAACTAGTTGAATCGTGTTCAGCGAGTAATTTTACGTCTAGAAAACCATATTTCAACCGTTTTTACGATTTTTAGTAAATTGACTATTTTTACGATTTTTCTACCGCTCACCTTCAAAAACTCAAAAAAATTTTTTTTTAAACATGACCCATTTACGTTTCATGCACTTTTTTGAGTCTTTAAAACCTCCAGAAATGTAAAAAAACGTTATATGGAACAATTGTGAAGTTCAATCTTTTTTTGATTTTTACCGAGATTTTGGCCGACTTTTGGCATTATTGTCAATAACTCCGGACTTATTAGTGATAATCTTTTGTTTGGTACTGTTGGAAAGAAAATTTAATTTTCTATCATGTACAAAAAATATGAGTGATGAGATAATTGCTGATAAAATCAAAAATATCGAAAACATAAATTCGACAATAACTTCTACAGGCGCATTCTCCGATTAATTTTACATATTGTATCAGTTTTTGATAACATTAAAAAAATTTGATTATTTGGCTACAACCGGATGCTTATAGCTTATAATTTACAAAAACTTCAAATGAGACAAATAAATAATTTATTTTTTTCTTGCTCAAACACAATTATACATATAGTTTCAATCGAAATAAAATTATTATACATTAAAACTGCCATAAATGCTCAAAATTGGTTGGTATGTGTAACTTGTAAAACCCATCCTCGCCACCTGTCCTCAGCAACTGTTTTACAATATCCATCTTGTTGACATTTTTTGAAACTGTTATTTTTCTATTCTCACCTCCAATACTCTTAGTTTTTAAGTTAAATTTCCGTGCCGCTCTGGAACATTCAGTTAAGACTTTTAAACTTGATATAAATAACCTACTTGTGTATAAAAACCCGTTCCTCCTTTGTAAAATCGGAGTCAAAAACTAGTGTCAACGAACTGGACGATTTGGCAAAACTCTCCAATTTTTCTGTTATTTGTTTTGTTAAATTACTAGTCCCCAAGCCCTGTCTGTTGACATTTTCATAAATTGTGATCGCGTCGCAATTGCCCTGCTCTTGGGCCCCAAGACCGCCCCCAGACCACCCCATTTTGGCCATTATTTTGTAAGCTGTGCTGTCTGAAGAAGCAGGAGTTTGGACAGTCTCACTTAAGGCTTCTGTTTCATGTAAATTCCCTTTTGTCACGTTTACAAAATCACTTTTCTGAAACGTCTCATAAATAAAAAAATATATAAAAAAAATTAATACCCTTGTTATAAAAAAACACGTTTCTTTTAATTTATTTAAAGCCTGTTCAGCTAATCCTTTCCTAGCATCTTGTATATTACTAAAACGTCCTTTTGCAAATTCTTGCCCGCTTACATGTAACACGAAACTGTTTCTACAAAAAAAAAACACAGAAATGGGACTTTTTTTAATAATTAGTTCTACATTTCAGACTCAGATTTGGAAACTGTTAAAGTCAAGTTCATGTAACTAACTGCGTTTTGAAGAGTTACATAAGGGCTTGTCTCAGTTGTTGGTGTAGTTATAACAAATCTTCCATAAGGCCCTTGAGTCACCACTGCATCTACAAGTTTTGAAATTTTTTCTTCAAGGTTGAGCTCCCTTTTATTAATTTTTTCGGCTACTACTTCCTGTTTTTCTTCATTTAATTTCCGTTTTAAGTTTGTTGACATCTTTTTATAATAATAAAAAATAATTACGTATTCAAAAAAGTGTGGTTATGAAAACCACAGACGTAAACTAAAAAACACTAGATGCACAGCACTAAAAACCAGAGTAATTTGGAAAATGAATCAACAGTTAAATATTAGAACAAATCAACAAATTTGTTTTCTTTTTTATTAAATTAAAGATTCTCGAAAATTAGTTTATACATAATATAAGAAAATAAATTAAAATTAGTGACACTAGCGCCATAGTGAACCTTCTCCGCAACGTACATCTAGTTCTTTCTCTGTGGTAACAGTCTACTTTGAGGTTATCCACTTTAGTTCAAACTTCAATTAATTTCAATTGATTTTGAATTAAGTAACCTTCTTCCGTTGCAACAATGGCTGAAATGGGCCCCATCCAATACTTTATTTGTGGCGGTTTTGGTGGTATTTGTACCGTGGTTGTGGGCCACCCCCTCGACACAATCAAGGTAAGTGCCCCCAAATCCTCCGCACACACCCTCACCCCATTTTCAGGTACGTTTACAAACCATGCCCATCCCCAAACCCGGCGAGAAACCCCTTTATTCCGGCACCTTAGACTGTCTCAAGACCACTGTTCATAACGAAGGAATCCGTGGCTTGTACAAGGGCATGGGGGCCCCGCTACTCGGCGTTGCACCAATTTTCGCAATTTCATTCATGGGATACGGCGTGGGGAAGAAGATGTTCGGGCCGGGGGAGGGCCAACATTACACTTACTTGCAATATTTCACCGCCGGTGCCTTCTCAGGGATTTTTACCACGATTATAATGGCCCCGGGGGAACGCATTAAGTGCTTACTGCAAATCCAGCAAGCCTCGACGGGGCCCAAGACCTACAATGGACCCGTCGATGTGGTCAAGAAGTTGTACAAGGAGGGGGGCATCAGGAGCATTTACAGGGGGTCGGGGGCCACTTTGCTAAGAGGTAAGGTACCTGTGGTTTTATTAAAAAAATACAAACAATACAATTATAAAAGTTTACTCGTTTTCATATTAATGTGCATCGAAGTAGTCGTTGAAAGGTGGCAACCATGCGAAAATTCAAAACCCTAACCTCAATCTTCCCTAAAAAATAAAGATGCATTTAGACTTCTACAACCTACTTGATGCACATTAAAATGAAAAAGATTATATGTTACATAAGTTTATTTCTAAATAAACAGCGATAAAATTGTTTATCTCAAATTAAAATATTGTTGTCCATCTGGAAGTGTTTTTTCGGCTTCCTTATTTTGCGCAATTTCGGAGGTATTTGTGGTAAAACATTCAAGTCATTGCTTACATTATGAGAGCCATGTTTGAGGATTTTGTGACGTAAGATTTCGTGTTTTCTAATTTTTGGTTTATATTCCGGGCATTTTAATAATCGTCTCATGGCGTGAAAAACGCTCCAATTGACGTATTGTTTGGGGTGGACACACTTGGGGGTTACCTTATTTTCGTAAACGTATTTAAAAGTGAATCGGTTGTCTTGAAGACATCCGACGCCCTTGTCTTGGGTAAAATCGCACGATTTTATGACTTTTTGTTTGATTCGGTTGATAATCATTGGTTTCCATTCGCTCATTTCGCAGGAACAATGCCAGGGGTTTTCGTTCAAACGAATCATTTTTGGGTGAATTTTCCCGAAAATGTCTCGAGGCAATTTAATTAATTGATTTTCGTTTAAATAAATTTCTTTAATGTTTAGCAATTGGTCGAAAACGGCCGGTGGCAAATGTTCTAATTGGTTTTTCGATAAATCCAAAACTTGTAAATTTTCTAAACCGATAAACGCGTCCATTGAGACATTCTTTACGTTGCAATTACTCAAAATCAATTTTTTCAACTTGTAAACATCCAAAAACGTGTCAAACTCGATCTCGGTGATGTCCCCAGTTAAAGTTAATTCATTCAGACTTGGCATTCCGACAAATAAGTCGCGTTTAAGTCGTCTAATTTTCAAGTTGTTTAAAGTCAAAGCTTTGAGGAGATTTAGCCCCAAAAATGAGTTTGTCATTAGTGACAAATTGACGTCATTGCTGCCAATTATGAGCGAGTCTGTTGTGTTCATGACCTCAAAAGTGTTGGGAAAAATCACCGTAATTGGGTTATTACCAAAATCAGCAAGTTTTAATTTGGGAAATGGAGGGAGTGACAGTTCTGACAACTGTGAAAAATTATTATACGACAAATCCAAATATTCTAGTTCCAGGAGCCCCGCCAAGTCAGTTATTTGAATGTCGAGTAAATTGTTATGTGCGAGTGATAAGGTTTTTAAATTTGGGGTACCATAAAAGGCAAATGGGGGTATAAACCTGAGGTTGTTTTTATCCAAAATCAAATATTGTAAATTGTTTAAACCGTCAAACATGGCCCAGTGGACATTATTAAGCTCGCAATGTGTGATTCTCAACAAGAACAAATTTTTAAATCCGATAAAAAGTGGAATTTTGTTTTCGTCATCTTGTTGTTTGTATTTTTCGTAAGGGAGGATTTCCTCGTTGGTCCCTTGTTGGACCATAGTGAGGGGGTGTTGTCCATTGGTGTCGATTTTTTGCACATATTCGAAGGTTTGGACGTCGTTGAATTCTTTGACGAATTTTTGAATTTGTATTTTCGAGTTTTTGATTTGGATGTTTTCAAGGTTTAGATATTTCAAATCGGGGAGGGGTAAGTTAATTTCGCTAATTAGACTACTGTTTGTCATTTTGTTAAGTAAATTGGGACCGAGTAACTCCAAACTGAGCAAGTTTTTGAATTTACTTAAATAACTGAATTTTATTGTTTTACTTCCTGTGTTGTACCCTTGAATCAGGGTCAAAGTCTCCAAGTCGGAGGGGAGTTTGGTGATTAGGTCCAAGGGGTCAATCTCGGTGTGTAAAATACAAATTGCGGAACGGACAATTGGTTTGTCATCGAGTAATTCCGACTCCAAATTATCGTCATAAAGCACCTATTATTTAGATTAATTTACTTTTCAACATTTAATTCGTTACTTACGTCATTGAATTCAACCGAATTTACTTCGTGTGAGTTTTGTTTTTTCTTATTGTTTTGCATAAAACGGTAAATGGCAGTTTCGGTCAAATGCTCCAGTTTGCAAGTACACGAAAAGGGACAGTTTTCATTCTTTTCCAAAATTTCCAAACTCTTGAATCAACTCATTCATTTTTAATTTAATTTGCGTTAAAATACTTACGAAAATTGGATTAATTAACACAAACAAACTTATTAAGTACATTTTGCTGAATCAACTATTAAAATGGAAGTGAATTTTAAATTGATACTGTCCAGGAAGTCCTCCCCCGCGTATTTCCTCTCTTTATCTATTCTTATCACAACGTGAAGAAAAAAACATTAAATGACACCCAAAAATGCCGTGCCACAGCTCCCCAAAGATATCAGGAACATGGAAAAAATGTTTAAAAAAATTCTTTCTATAAAAATTTCGAAGTTATAAGAGTAAATTTTGCACTTTATTTTTGCTAAAAAAATAATTTTCCAAGTTTTTTGCTACAGACTATTAGAAGAGGAAACAAGGAAGTTGTATCCTAAATTGTTTAATGTTATTTGTGGCTTTTATTGGCAAAATTTGTCTATCTTTACTAAATAATTATAAAAAAAAATGTCAAATGCCAAAAAATAAATGTCAAATTTTTTTGACAGATAGAATTTTTTAAACATTTTTTTCAAATTCCTTATCTTACTTGAAATGTTTCTCTGGGGCGCTGTTTTTTTTTAATAATTAAATCTCATTTTAGATATTCCTGCCAGCGGCATGTATTTCCTGACTTATGAAGCGATTAAAGATTACATAACCGACCACGGGAAGGAGTCTCCGACCATCTTGGGAACAATCTTTGCAGGTGGGGCTGCTGGAATTGCGAACTGGGCTGTTGGAATGCCCCCTGATGTTCTGAAAAGTCGCCTTCAAACCGGTACGTTTTTGAATTGTTTGAAAAAAAAACCACCTAATTTGTTATTTCAGCGCCTGAAGGTACATATCCTAATGGCATTCGTGATGTTTTTAAAAAACTGATGCAGACTGAAGGGCCTGGGGCATTATATAAGGGCATAACCCCGGTTTTATTGCGAGCATTCCCGGCTAATGCCGCTTGTTTTGTTGGATTTGAATTGTGCAAGACGTTTTTGGCATATCTGTCAAACGCTTCTCCTGTTTAAAAAACGGGATTTTTGCTCAAAATGACTGCATTTTTGTCTCCCGTACTCGTTAGTTTTGTTCAAAATATTTTGTTGTGGGATGTTTGTTAATACAAGTTTGTATTTTATATAATGTTATTTGTGGCGAATAAGCCACGGATAAGACGTGATATAATATATTTTAATAGTTTTGTAATTGATTGGTCGTTTTTTTTTAAACCTGAGTAAAAAAAAGCTGAAGTACAGTTTATTTTTTTGAATTGTTGGTGTGAATCAAGAACACGATGGCCTCCGTCTGTTTTTGACATTTGACAGCTTATGAGATTTTGGTACTAAAGTAAAAAATTTAAGCTTCTCCCTGAAGGCTTGAATTACGATTGGTATGATATAAAGGGTATAAATATTAGCCCTAAAACACAAAAATGAAATTACAAATGACCTATAATTTTGTTCATTTTAATGTGCATCAAGTAGGTTGTACAAGTCTAAATGCACCTTTAATTTAAAGGCAGATTCACACAAAAAGTGTTATTAATGTCATTCAGAATCACAACAATATTGACAAAAATCTTTAAGTTGGCTACCCTATGTTAATCACCTTGTTAATTTTAATAATTTTTTCTACCTGAGGTACATATTTATTTAGAAAAAATAATTTTTGGGGAAGATTGAGGTTAGGATTGTTTGAATTTTCGCATTTGTTAAAGTGAGATAAAAAAAGAGATAGCGATTTAGTACGTCTTTCGAATTATTAGGCATAAAGTAAAAAACGAGCTTTAAGTATTAAAACTGTCCCTTTATTAAAACTTTAGACATACAAACAACGTAACAAAGCTTATATCAGTCCTTTAATTATATAAAGCGGAAATTTTCAATAAATAATCTGAAAATTGTATTGTATTTGACTACAGTGCTTTGTTGTCTTCGGCAATTCTGGCTTTGATGTCATCGTAGGACTCAAGAGAGTCCCAAAAGTCGGGATTCCAACTCGGAAACACGGAAGTAAACGTTTCCGGTTCCTGTCCTTGCGCTATAGATGTCACTGGTGTGTCCTCACGGCTGTATTTCTTCAAATGCATCTAAACAAAACAAATGAAACTCAGTCGGAGATAAAATCAATAGTTACCTTCGCAAGGTCATTTGCTTTGGCCTTCTCCTTGACACTGGCCCCATTCCCAATCCAAACAAATAGATCTTTCCCCACATCCAGAAGCATGACATCATCCTCATTCAAATCACTCTGTTGGAAATCGATGATCTCTTCAACTTCAAATTTGTTGTTTTTGCCTTTGATTTCGGCATGGAAAAGTCGGGGCTCAAACGAGTTGTATTTCTCGGTGCTCGGGGACCGGATAAGTCTCGAATGCAACTCGTTCCTATTCCTCCAAGACTGGAAATATTGAGTAAAAGCAGTGGGTTCTGCCCCCTCGACAATTCTCTGGACGTGAGTCCAAGCCGGGTATTTTTTGGACGTGAGGAAGTTCTGGGCCTTGACCATAGCCTCCTGTTTCTCCTTATTGTTGCATTTTTTCCCAATCCAGACAAAGATGTTGGAGTCGGAGCTGTCCAGAATGAAGCAGTCGCTCCCGTCAAGTAGCGACTGCTGGAGGGGTTTTTGGGCCACAAGCTCAACCTTAAGGCTTCCACTGTTGTCCGAAACGCGGTACAAGGACACCGCGCGTTCCTGGTTTGACTCGAATTGGGCGTCGTCGCCCCCTGCAGACTCATCGGGGACACTCGAGGCGCTCCCACTGCCCAAAGCGCTGAAAAACTCGGCGAAGTCGTGGTCGGGGCTGAACTCATCGATGATGTTGACTTTGGCCTTGCCGGCGTGGTCTTGGTCCCGGATTTGATTCGCGGCCGAAATGGCCTTAAGTCTCTCGACTCGCTTACTCTTAGTCCCAACGTAAACGTAAATATCTCGCCCCACGTCGAGGATAAAGCAATCGCCTTTGTTCATCGAGCTTACAAGAGGGTCGACTTGTTTCACTCGGATGTTGCGAGAGCCTTTGACTTGGAATAAACGCTTCTCGAAAGCGTTGGGGTCGACGTGAGTGAAACCGGAAGCGACTCCGCCGGGGAGGTAGCGCACTCCGTTTTTAAAATAAGACAAGAATAATTGGGACTCGTGCTCTTGGGTTTCCCGGTATTGGATTGGAACTCCGCCAAGTTGGTCGTCGAGTTGGACTGCGAAGATTGCAGCCGAACCGGCCTCATCCTAAATCGATAACAATCACCACCGCCCTAAATCGACTTCATCCCAAATCCCTGAATTCCAACTAAAATCCCAGAATCTCGGGGATTTGTGTAACTAAAAACAGTTTTTTTCCTATTTTGCGTCTGAAAGAAAGCTTATTTCGATACCAAAACCGATACTTTAATGAGCCATTTCAACATCAATTTGTGTGCCGAAATAGACTAGTATAATTTACTTTATAGAGTTGGTAATGGTGATTTTCAGTGACGTTTTGAGCGATTTCTTTTATTTTATTCATTGTTAATTTAACAAAATATTCGAGACTTGACACTTCGAAAATCGAACTTTTCAAACTTTGTGACATTTATTGCCAACTACAACCTTATTAGGGCAAAAGTTCCTAAATTTTGAAAAATTGACTTTTATGTTAAAACGCGCAAATAGAAAAAAAAGCATAAAAAAACTTGTCTTACGAAACGTGTTTTTTAATATACTATTGTAACACATTTTATGCAATACTTTGGTTACCACTGGCCATAGATTGTCGTTTCTGAGTGAACAATTGTTGCAGTTTAACGTATTTCATCGAAACCACAGCAATTTGAGCAATTTTCAAGCAATTTGGGTATTACATACGTCAAATGTCATCAAGTGTTTGTAACACTTGTTTTTTAATATTCTATTATTTTTTTAAACTGTGAAATAATAGAAAATGAGTTGGTTGTTTGCTTGTTTATTAGTTCTTCCGTCCTTGGTATATTTAATTAATGTTAAAAAATGTTGTAAGAAATCTAAGCATTGTGATTGGTCCCAGGGCCGTACCCAAGGGGGGGGATTAGGGGGTTCA